AATTGATATATAAATAAAAATCTTTGAATTTTGGTTATTTATTAGTATTAAATTATATTATATACACACACACACTTGTGATACTAATGTATCATATATCTTTATGATACCAGAGTGTCAAAAAAAGTTATGATATTATAACGTCATAATTTTATGTGATATGTTATTGTCATACTTTTGTGACACTAATCTGTTTAGCAACCAGTGACACTAAATTTTGTGTCACTTGCCCCCATTGTCTGTGACACTTTCAGAGTGTCACCAAATCGTTTAGTGACACTAATTTAATGTCACTATAAGCCATTTTTTTACTAGTGGCAGTAATTTCAGTCAACTTCTCAGCCATCACTTCTTCATAATTATGCTACACAATCATTTAATTAAAGTAAATAAGTGAAGAATACAAATATATATTTATTTTATTCATTTCTTACCGTTATCTCGGCAATACGCGGTAGTATTAGCCCAGATTTTTGGAGCTCAACATTTGTTCTACAATACCAATCTCCTAACTTTTTTCTTCAATTTTTCTCCCTATAGAAAATTAAAACATTTAATATTGTAACCATATATAATTGAATTTACAAAATAAGTGGGGCAACTTACCAATTTTAAGTTATGGTCAAACGTGATTGAACGCCCACCATGCCATTGGCTATCCTTTGCATATTGACAGTTTATGTTCTTCTTCCCTGCTTCACTGTTTTTTTAAACAGAGCACTGGACTCCCATTATTCCGAAAGAGTCTGCAAGGCACTGTCCGTAATCCATTCCGGCTTGGTGTTGGTGTATCGGGCATGGGAAAATGTAGAAGTGACCCGTTCCCCGAGAATGAAAGTTCTTCCTAATCTCATTCGTCTCAATCGGATTCCACATATATTCATTCTTCATCCAATTATATATTGTTAAATGTTAATTAACATATTTAACAAATCATTTGCCAAACTCATTATTTATAGAGACTTTTAGTACATGACGTGAACATGCCAAAGAATTGAGTCCGAAGCTTTTTTTATATTTGACCATAGGTGGCACATGCCTCAGTAGGATATTGACAATTTTTTCAATTGTTGGTAAAATTGTTTCTATCTCTTCATAAAAATAAAATTTTAGTTAATTAATTTAGATATTGTATTATTGTTATTTTATTGAATAGAAAATTTTAAATTTACTCGGCAACTTCTTCCGCTGTTATCCATCTTCGGTTGTCAGGCAACTCATTATGAGGTTGTGAGGATCGAGGTCCCACCACCTCCACCCCCACGCACATGAGAGAATTAACAACAAATAGGAGCGTTGGGTTGACCCGAATGTCATTGGATTTACCATCATTGTCTGGTGTCGAGTGATCGCGAGAAGTTTGGCCTCTGCCTCGACCTCGACCTTGGTCTCGGCCTCGATTAGATTGGTTCGAATTACTTGAGGAGTTTGACATCTAAGATTTATAAAGGTAAGTAAAATAAACTTTTATACAACACTGTTTTTAACTATTGTAAAATGAGAATATTTTTGGAATGATAAGTATGATCGAGTTAGCCTTGTATTATGACCATATTAATTATTATTTTTGGTAAATAGTTTTCTAACTGTTTTTTTAAAAACTTTTGTTGTAGTAACATATTAAATGGAAAAACTTTTTGCTAAAACATTAAACTGAGATTTACGGAATCAATAAGTTTTTGATATGAAAAATTATATCCTTTGGTAAGCCATTAGAAAAATAATTTCAGTTTAATGTGGTGTTTTAAAATAGGTGAAGATGAAAAAATGTCTTGAAACAAAAACGGTGTGATAAATTTTTTAACTGACTTTTAAAATAGGTGTTTTAGTAACATATACTCCGTACTTAGAAGTTGTTCTCTTCACCTGATCTGAATGTTTCTGATCTGAATTTTTTAAGTTCTGATCTGATCTGATCTGAATTTTTCTGATCTGATCTGAATAAAATAAGAATAAGTAATAAGATTAAGACGAACTTCTTAGTATTATAAGAGGAGTAACAAGTTTAAATAGAATAATATTTTGAGGGTGTATTTTTTGAGGGTGTATTTTGATCAATAGCAATTAATTTACTTCCTTCCAAAAAAAAATATTTTGAGGGTGGATTTTTTTGACGTATTGTTTAAAAAAAAAATTGAGAAGGTCTTTTTACTAGCTGGTGTTTATGGTAAGATATTAAAATAGGTGTAAGATGTTTACATGAAAAGCTGGGAAAAAAATGAAAAGTTTGTCGGCGTGCAATGATAAACACGCAGGAACTAGAAGATACAAGCATAGATTTGGAGGAGAATTTCTAACTTAAGCTTGCATAAAACCAAACTTAAAATCGGAGGCATGCATAGGAAATAGGAATGTAAAAAAAAAAAAGATTTAAGTACTTAAAATAAAGGAAGCAAAAATAGGAAGATGTGACCGGAAGAGCAGAGGCGCCGGACTGAGAGGCGGAAGTCCCTCTTCAATGTCTGACCATTTCACCAAATTAAACCCTCTCTGCTACAGCATACTCCAGTATAAAATTTTCGAATTTTATACTTTAGATTTTAAAAAAATTAAGGAAAAAATTATTTGAGGAATATATGATGTATTATATTAAAAAATAGCTTCATTCGATCAATTCCTACACTAACATTGATTACTAAAAGTTAATACATAGTCAAAAATTAAATACATGAAATTATACAATAATAAATGGACTAATAATTAATTATATAATGATAAAATTATTAACGATATAAATATATATAATTTACACATGTCCATTATTGTACATCCATTTTATAATTTATCTATATATATTTGATATATTATATTAAAAAATACTACGTAGCTCCATTCAATTCCAACACTAACATTGATTACTAAAAGTTAGTATATATTCAAAACCTTAATTTAATAAATGAAATTAAGCAATTATTTAATGACATAAATATCTATTGTTTACTTAAAATGATTTGTTATAACAAGTGTAATGCTTTAAATAAACTAATACTCTATTCAATTTAATATGTATTAAAAAAAACAAAGAAATACATTTACATACCTTATTATTTGAAACACGCATTTGGTTCCATAAATTCATTCAATTTCTTCATTTTGATGACTCCACAAACACATTATAATTCCCTCTATAAAATTATACACCATAAGAATGGTATGAAACTAGCTAAAATGGCAACTATATATAGAAAATTTTGTCAGGGATTTTGTTAGGGATTTTATCACACAATAACATTTTTCACGGATGTTTTCACGGATGTGTAATGATTGGAATTTCACTTCTAACGTTAACTTTTGTCACGGAAAAATCCGTGACACAACTATTAAATGTATATTTTTTATTTAATCAAGGAATAAATTCATGACAATTATCAATTTTAACTGGTGTCAGGGATTCGGTCCCTAACAAATTCAAACAGCTACTTTTTGCAACGTTTTTTGTTAGAGATTTTCCCCTGACATATATTCCGGCCAAAAAATTCCGGCCGGTGGCTTGTTTTAGGATACAGTCGGGTTAGGAAAATATCCCTGACAAAACTATTTGACCGAATTTTTCAGTAATCCCTAACAAAATCCCTTACAAGCTTGTTAGAGACAATATTCCGACTAAAATCCATGAAAAAATCAGTGTTTTTTGTAGTGTCCTAGCAGTAATTCCCTGTTTGGTGAAGCTGGAGCGTGGTTGACATGTAAAGAAGGATGATGGTCTTCAATTAACTTAGGAGCTGTAGCGTGTTGGAGAAGCGGTGTTTTTGGCGAAGCTTTGCAGCGACTTAAATAGCTTCGGAAGTGGACAGATGTTCTTCAAATTGCAGCAGTTTGGTGGAGATGTAAAGATAGTAGGCGGAGGAAGGTAAGGCTCTGTTAAAGCCAAATAGTAAAGAGGGTAGGCGGAGGAAGATTAGATGCAGTTAAGGCGAGAAATTAGAGAAGGTCGGGGAGGAAGGCGAGCGAGTAAAGGAAAATATTGTAGCCCCGTATTTTCTAAATAGTGAAAACGCATAAAAGTCAGTTTTTCATTTCACAAGTAAAAGGCGAGATATGTTTCAGTTTTCATTTTTTGAAAAATGGTTAGGCGAGATATTTTTCTATCTCCAGTTTTCTGATTTTTTGGAAAAATAGAAAATATCTCTATTAGTAAAGGGATCCTTACTTTTTGTATGTTGGTCACTAAAGGGTATGTTTGGACTATAAAGATAACTTTGATAGTTATTTGATCCAAAAAAATAGATTAAGGGCATATGTACTATATGGTGTACAATTTTTTGAAGGGTATTTTTGTTGCCTGAAGAATAAGGTTGGAGAATTTCTGTCATGGGATTAGGGGAGAGCAGAACCCGATCCCACTCGAAAAATCGATCAAATATACTCGAGGTACGCCTAGCGAGTCGATGACCCGAACCCGATTACCCAATCCGAAATTGCAAACCTTGATCCTTAAGAGTAACGGATATTGGGTAGGTTTTTAAAAATGCTACCCGAAAAACCCGAACTAGCGTAGTATATGTACTACTTTGAATTATTATGCATGTTCAAATATCTCAATTATTGTATGTCAATTACCATATTATGCATGTTCAAATATTCCAATCACCGTATTTGTACAAATATAACTTTCAATGTTGTATTGTTATGACTTTGAATGATATTTTGACCAATTATCATTTTATTCATCACAATATCAAATATATCAATCACCGTATATTACTACGTATTATTTTACATGTTCAATTATGTCGATTACCGTATTTATACAACTATTACTTTGAATGTTATACTAGTATAACTTTGAATGATATTTTTACCAATTACCATTTTATTTATGACAATTTCAAGAATAATAAATTAAAATCCGAATAGACATGAAAACCGAGTCAACCCGACAGCAACCCGAACTTTTTCAACTCAAAAAATCTGATAAATTTTTTTGATAGGGTAAAGTTTGAAATTATCAATTCAATGACCGAACGTGTTTACAATTTTTGAACCCGACCCGTGCTCTCCCCTACTTAACGGCAGAGACTCTCAAACTGTGACACGTGGATTCTATCTAGCCAAAAAACAGACCTGAAACTTAACCTCACCAGTTCTCTATCCTCTACCTATTCCCAACTGATAAACCTTCCATGGCTGCCACCGCATCTGCCTCTTCACTCCTCTCACCGGCCACCGCGACGTTTAACAGTAACTCCTTTCTCGTTGCTATTACTAGTTCCCCATTCCTCAATTTCCAAACCCGAAAACCCACGAGACCAATCACCGGACTCCACGTGTCCTCGAAACCCTCCTCACCCCTCTCCCCTTCCACCGGATCCACCCAAGAAACCGTCTTTTTCGACGGCGGATCTCACTACGGAGACCTCGCAGCGAACCTTCTTCTGGGTTTCACTCTTCTTTGGCTGCCGCTGTCACTAGCCGCAGTTCTCAGAGCCTTCAATCTGCGGTACAGGTTCACAAATGAAAGGGTCACTGTCATTTCAGGGAAGACTAAGAAGGACAGGATCGACTTTTCCTACAAGGTAATCAAGGAAGTTCAGGTTGTGCCCAGGTTTATAGGAGAGTGGGGTGACATAATCATCACTCTCAAGGATGGTACTAAGGTTGACTTGAGAAGTGTCCCAAAGTTTAGGGAAATTGCTAAGTATTGCCTCTCCATGACTGATCAACCTGTTGTTTTGAAGAACCCTGTCCCTAAAGGGTTTTAAATTTTGATGAAATACACGCAAAAAAAGTGTGTTCTGTTTAATAATTTAATCACTTTGTGAGGCATGTGAAGTTTTTATTCGAAATTCTTATGAAGAAAGTGAAACACTATCTTTAGTTGTATATTTTCATGTAATTTGACATGAATTTTGTTTACTTAGTGTTTTGCTTATACATACACAGAAATGATAGAATTGCAATCCATAAGGATAGCTGCAGTATTCTGAGAAGGGTAGTCATGGAATGGTGTTTAGTTATGAATTTTCCCTTTTGTAGAAGAGATTTAGGCCTTTTGGATTGGTCAAGCATACCTGAGATGTGAGAGCAATTTTTCGGTTGGCTAGTAATATTTACCAAGGTTTTGCATTAGTCTCAATTTAAAGTTTAGACCAATCAACCTAATTTCTTTTAAATTTTTATAGAATAACGTTTTATTGTATTGAGATTCAGGTTTTGGAATTCAATATTTTTGTGTGTGACTTCTAAATGTCAAAATTTTAACTGTTAACATAAATTTCATCACAAAACATTAAATCTTATAATTAGTTATTACTCATCATAGTAGCAGTTTAAGGACTCTCTTTGTTTAGGTGGGAATATAAATGTTGGTAGTGGAGTATCTTTTTCCATTCATGATGCAAGTGCAATTTACTCTTGAGGTTGGGCTTAATTTAGGTCCTGGAGATTCCACCAATTGAGGGCTACTTGTGGGCAGGCCTTAAAGTTTGAGCTAAAACATCTTCAGTAGTGTAGCACTTACAGCCCAATTGGTTTTCTGGCTTGTTTAAGTTTTATTTAATTAGAAGAGTAGGTTTTTTGTACTTCATTTAACAGTATGAGGGAGGGTATTACTAACCAAAGGCGTGGGGTTCATTTCTTATGCAAATAACATTTTGAATTATAAAAGATTGAAGGACTCAGTTTGAATTTTGAATTCTGCACTGAACTGTGTTATGTAATTATAGGACCCCCTCCCACCCCACCCCACCCCCTCCTTGCCACCTACATGAGAAAAAATGAGAAAAGTGTTTGCTGTTAATTTCTTGAAATTTATGCCCTGTAAAATAAGTTTTTGTATGTTTAATACAAAGTTTGATGCAATAAAACAGAAAAAAAAAACAAGTTCATAGAGCATTTTTCTAGAAAATATTATCTTTTCTAAAAACAAACGGAGCCTTAGTATGGGTATATGCCTCTATCAGTTGTAAATTTATAATGCACAATGTGGGGTCAGGGGCGTAGCTAGGAGTAAGAGTTGGGCTGAGATGGTACAAAGAATTTTTATTGATAATTTTTACATTAAAAATATAAACAATTTTAAAATTTGGACTGGGCCGTAGCCCGGTTGGCCACCCCTCCACCTCCACCCCTGTGTGGGGCCCTCCACAAAGCCCCTGGTTATGTCTATTGTTCCAGAAAATCCAAGTCCCACTGGGATAACCAATTAGAAGAGATTGAAAACTAGCAACTGGCAGGCATATGCATGAGAGTTAGAGTCTCATAACGAAAAAATGCAGGATGGGGTCCATATGGCCAGAAGAATAGTCATCATCACTAATAATTATCAAACTGGCCATGGGTTTCAGCATTAAGAGCATGTACAAGCTCAGCATAGTGCAAAACTGCAAAGCAGATAGCCCTACCACTTCAATGACTAACTGTTTATGAACTCATATTGTTTACTCTTGAAACTTAGCAAAACAGTACAGACTGTAAAAGCAAGTCCTTATAGTCTGCACATCACTTAGACTAAAAAACACATTTTTTTTATACTTTTGACACAATGCGGGTATGACCACCTGAACATACCTGCAACAAAACAGTTCTAGTAAAAAAGAGCAAACATATACTACGTAAATGTGAAACATTGCATTTGGAATGTACTGAAGTTTATCTTGTCAATACATTAGCAACATTTTAATCTTTTTCACTAACAAATTTGTATAAATGAATTATTTTAGACTTCTAATCAGGTCCATCCTTTATGGAGGTGTTAGTGCCCCATAGGGGTACTAGCTAGCCTAGTGGCTACCCCAAAGCTGGTTGTTTCATCTATTCCCTACACACTAGCTCCATCTGATTTAAAAGCATAAAACCAAATCAGCTGAGAGGTCATCATTATGGTTGAGGAATCTAATACTCCATCCATCCATGTGGTTTGTGTTCTTGTTTGCATATGGATCAACAACTAATCAGTATATAGTTTGCCTGGTTAGGTATAGTCTGTAGTCTGTACTATAGACTTTGGCTGAGCCAAATGGAACTGCCTAGTGGTGTTTGATAAGAAGTGGTGAGGTCAGAATAGTTTGTAGAGTTCTGCCAAAAAGAGCATCTTTATTGAAAGGTGCTAAAGATGGGAGACGCATTCCTAGTATGACAGCTTGCATTCCATTCCATTCCCTTCACCAGTAAATTTCCCTTTTGCAGGCTCTTTTCTTTGTCAATGTAACAGTGTGCATTTTTATTTTATTTCATTTCATTTCATAGTCGAGCTTGTTTCTGCTCACTCTCATTAGCCAAATGGTAGGATATGCGTTTTACTTTGTACGGAGTATATTCGTAGTATTTTCTCGATTACAGGTAAACAAGAGTTACCTCAACCCACTATTTCATGCTAAATTGCATTCTACTCCCTCGATCCCTATTTAATCTTCCCGCTTTGAGTTGCAGGCACATTAAGTTTTTTTTCCTTTGACTTCCTGAATGGCCTCTTTTACTAAGGGGCAAATTTTACTGTAGAGTATATTATTTTGATACTGATTGATATTGTTTTGCAATGTGGTATCATTATCATTTAAAAGTAGTAAATTGATATACATTTGTTAACAAAATATGAAAAGAGAACTTTGTTTAAGGACATACAAGAAAGTGGAAGGTTTTTTAAAGGACGGATGGAGTATATAGCAGTTTTGACGATGATTCAATTTCACACAATCTTCCCCTTAGAAGAGCCTTAATTACACAATATAGTGTACTTTACTTGCAATCAAGCTAGCTAACAACCTTTTATGTGATCAACAATGTAGTAATAGAGTGTTGTGTTTTTGTTCTACCGACTTGTATATTTTAGGGGAAAAGACTCTAATATGACTAAAACATGGGCTTGGTATGCGGGTAGGACCTCTTACATTTTATACCCTAAATAGGACCTATTTACAACTGAAAGGACAAAAATAACCCCAAGCTCTTAAATTCAATCGCGATCCACCGACTTCGCATCACACTCAGAGCTTCAGGCGTCTTCTCCTCATTCCAATCGCTATCAGCTTAGATCTTCTTCTCGAAAAAGCTACACTCGATCTTCTTCCTCAATTTCAAAGCTGATCGAAGCTTAGATAACATTGGTTAAGCTAAGAGACTCATTCGTCGAAATAAATATGAGGCCAGAATGTCGTTCAAACAAATTTCGAATGATTTCCGACGAAATTCCAACCAATTTAGTTTTTTCAACACATCTTCTGGGCAAAACACCGGAAAACCGTGGATGCCGGATTTCAGATGGAATTCCGACCTAATCCTCTTGTTATTTTGTTTGTATCTGTATTAACATTTATTTGTATAATTGTGGTTTATTGTTCAATGTAATCAAAGTTCAAACATCCAAACAAACAGAAAACGTAGATTCTTCTTTTTCAGATGATTTTAAAACAGAGGTAAGGGTCGGATTGGTACTCGAAGTTGCATAAAAAGGGTCGAATAAGTCCTTATATAGGAGGCACTGTCTGGCCGTCGCCATTTAGGGTAGTTCCCTGTGGAATTTTTTGACGAAGTTTTTTTATCATCTTATTTATTAAGTCTAGTTTACTCATACCAAATTTTAGCTGAAAATTCAATCAGGAAGGCATTCAAATGAATTCTTGAAGATAACTGCGCAGTTAAAAGCGCAGTTATCTTCAAGAATTCATTTGAATGCCTTCCCGATTGAATTTTTAGCTGAAATTTGGTATGAGTAAACTAGACATAATGAATAAGATGCTCAAAAAATTGCATCAAAAAGTTCCATCGGGAACCGCCTCAAATGACGACGGCCGGACAGTAAGGACTTATTTGACCTTTTTTATGCAACTTCGAGTACCAATCTGACTCTTACCTCTTTTTAAATATTACAATGTCACAGTTTTTATAAACATACAATAAATAATGTTAGACTTTTGGGGAATTCTCATAATTTTTTCAATAACATAGCTTCATATTACGAAAGATCTAAAAACGTAAAAACAATTGACAGAACCTTACCAATGTCATTATGTCAAAAGAAATGGCAAATATAATTACAACCAAAGTGAATTGGTAGAAAGGTTACAATGTCATACAAATGTAACAAATACTACTTTAGACAATGCAGACATAAATAAAAAGAAAGCAAAATTATCAATAATACTTAATTTTGACATTGTAATTAATTTAGGATAACCCTTAAAATAGCACAATCTAAAAAGAATTTGAAAATTGCTATATAAAACAATGTCATACAAACAGAAAACTTCAGATGATTTTGAAATATTACAATGTCACATTTTTTTATAAACGTACAATGTTATTTGAAAGATACAATAAACAATGTTAGCCTTTTATGGAATTCTCATAATTTTTGTAATGACATAACTTCATATTACCAAAGATCTAAAAACGTAAAAAAAATTGACCGAACCGTACCAATGTCATTATGTCAAAAGTAATGGCAAATATAATTACAACCAAAGCAAATTGGTAGAAAGGTAACAATGTCGTACAAATGTAACACATACTAATTCAGACAATGCAAACATACCTAAAAAGAAATCAAAATTATCAATAATACTTAATATTGACATTGTAATTAACATAGGATAACCCTTAAAATAGCACAATGTCAAAGGAATTTGAAAATTGCTATATAAAACAATGTTAGGCTAAAACAATTCAAATGTCATAAAAATGTCACCATTAACTCACAATGTCATTAAAACTGTTGACGAAATAAAATACAAAAATCATTAATACCATATAAATTATTAAAAATTAAAACGACACATGTAACGGTTGCATGGTGCGGTTGCAACTACCTGTTTTGAAACATAAACGCAACCATCAATAGTTGAAATAGGAAACCACGGCCATCAGTACAAAGAGAAAAGTACAGAGTCTCAGTTCTTAACTTGAGAGAAGTCTAGAGCACACTTTCGTCGTGTGCAACTCCAAAAAGTAGAGCGCAGAGTCGAGTTCGTTGAACAAAATACCGAGGAAGTTGAAGAAGACATTGCAATGGCAAATAACAATAAACTTTCAGAAGATAGGCAAACACCGGTATGTCACTTGTTCTACTTTTCTGATATTTTGATTATATTTTTCTCAAATAAAC